TTTTACTTTTTGCAATAAAAAGTGTGTATGTTGGTTGATAAGAACTCTCCTGTACTTGGTGTCATCCTTTGGTTTCCCATTTTCTCTTCTCCCACAGCTCGGAGACTGATAGTCACATCCTACTCCTGAGGCAGGCCTCTGCTGTGGGCCTCCAGGTCACCTGTCCACCCTGGCCTGGGTCCTGTCTCACATCCACACCGCGCTTTGCACTCACTCACATTCACAGACGCTTCTTTTACCCCATTCTAACCCTTTGCCTGCCGTGGCTTCTGATCTCCTGTTCCCATGAATTCTCAAATCTCAGTCCTCCTGTTAGTACCCTCCCCTGTTCCTGTACTTTGCCCAAAATTCAAATGAGACCCTCCACCCCTTTTTCCTTCTCCCAGCGGGCTGCTGCACGCAGCCCAGGTGCCCTCACAGTGTCGCCCCACCCATAGGTATCCTTGGTCCTTGCAGGAGGACAGCGAGGCCTCCTCGCTGGCTGGCGCCCTCGTTAGCTCAGCCCCATGCCCCCCAATTGAGGCCACTCGCAGCACTGAGTCAGCTCAACTGCAGATTTGATCTAAGTCATTTTTGTGTGTTCATTCTTTTTTGATAATTTCTTTGTGCTATATGCACAATTTTATATAAATGCATAAATATGGCCATTTTCTATATAGTGTTTAGTGTTCTCTTTTTTCTTCAGTTTTTTTAAAAAATAATTTTTTTTTTTACTCTTTTGGCTGTGATGTACAGCATGTGGGATCTCAGTTTCTCAACCACTGCAGGCCCTCTGCATTGGCAGCATGAAATCTTAACCACTGGACCTCCAGGGGTGTCCCCTGCTGCACCCTTCTCCCTCCCCCCAACCTCATCCCTCCTCTTCCCTGGTCAGGCGAATGTAATATGTATACAGCCATATCCTGCCATGTATCTTCCCACTCTTTCTTCCATGTTCTCTGTAATCATAATCAGAAATCACGAGACTTTTGCCATTGCTTGGCCAAAAGTGGGATCATATTACAGGCATTTGATGTTTCTTGCTTTTCTTAATACCTCACAGACTTCCCTTCAAGTCAGCTGGCATAGCTCTCTAATCCATTCTTTTTAGTGGTTAATATTCTATGGTGTGATATGCCATCATGTATTCAACTCTTCTCTTGCTGGTAAATCACATCCTGTTCAATGATTATCTAGATTATAAGTCAAGGAGTCTAGAGTTAATTTTTTTAATGCTTTCCACCACCAGGGACGAGATCCAGGACGGCTGCAGTTCCTCTTGAGGGAGCCAGGGGTGGTGGGCCCCTTGGGGGGGGGTCCCAGTGAGCAGAGGGGTGGACACCTGTCCAGCCATGTGGGCTCTGAGTGGTCTAAGCCGTTACTCTGTTCAGTGTGGAATGTTGATTGTAACTTAATATACCGAAAACTTGTAAAGAATGTATGTACATTAAGGTTTCATGTGACAAAAGTTTTTACTTTTTGCAATAAAAAGTGTGTATGTTGGTTGATAAGAACTCTCCTGTACTTGGTGTCATCCTTTGGTTTCCCATTTTCTCTTCTCCCACAGCTCGGAGACTGATAGTCACATCCTACTCCTGAGGCAGGCCTCTGCTGTGGGCCTCCAGGTCACCTGTCCACCCTGGCCTGGGTCCTGTCTCACATCCACACCGCGCTTTGCACTCACTCACATTCACAGACGCTTCTTTTACCCCATTCTAACCCTTTGCCTGCCGTGGCTTCTGATCTCCTGTTCCCATGAATTCTCAAATCTCAGTCCTCCTGTTAGTACCCTCCCCTATTCCTGTACTTTGCCCAAAATTCAAATGAGACCCTCCACCCCTTTTTCCTTCTCCCAGCGGGCTGCTGCACGCAGCCCAGGTGCCCTCACAGTGTCGCCCCACCCATAGGTATCCTTGGTCCTTGCAGGAGGACAGCGAGGCCTCCTCGCTGGCTGGCGCCCTCGTTAGCTCAGCCCCATGCCCCCCAATTGAGGCCACTCGCAGCACTGAGTCAGCTCAACTGCAGATTTGATCTAAGTCATTTTTGTGTGTTCATTCTTTTTTGATAATTTCTTTGTGCTATATGCACAATTTTATATAAATGCATAAATATGGCCATTTTCTATATAGTGTTTAGTGTTCTCTTTTTTCTTCAGTTTTTTTAAAAAATAATTTTTTTTTTTACTCTTTTGGCTGTGATGTACAGCATGTGGGATCTCAGTTTCTCAACCACTGCAGGCCCTCTGCATTGGCAGCATGAAATCTTAACCACTGGACCTCCAGGGGTGTCCCCTGCTGCACCCTTCTCCCTCCCCCCAACCTCATCCCTCCTCTTCCCTGGTCAGGCGAATGTAATATGTATACAGCCATATCCTGCCATGTATCTTCCCACTCTTTCTTCCATGTTCTCTGTAATCATAATCAGAAATCACGAGACTTTTGCCATTGCTTGGCCAAAAGTGGGATCATATTACAGGCATTTGATGTTTCTTGCTTTTCTTAATACCTCACAGACTTCCCTTCAAGTCAGCTGGCATAGCTCTCTAATCCATTCTTTTTAGTGGTTAATATTCTATGGTGTGATATGCCATCATGTATTCAACTCTTCTCTTGCTGGTAAATCACATCCTGTTCAATGATTATCTAGATTATAAGTCAAGGAGTCTAGAGTTAATTTTTTTAATGCTTGTTTTTACAAAATGTATATTCATTCTTGTTTGTGCCAAGTCTAATGTACATTCTTTGAAAGTTAGTGCATTCCATAATGCTATTCATTAACCTGCTTGAACACTGCATTTCAACCAAAAAAAAAAAAAAAGAAGGTAAGTCTTGATTCCATGTAAAAAGGTGGCAGAATCATCAGGCCCCTTCTTTCTCGACCCCGCTATAGCCCTTGACACTGACCTGTGGAAAAACCCCTCCCTCCCCTGGCTTCTGTGTGACCACTGCTCCCCTTTTGAGACTCCTCTTTCCACTCATCTCTATAGGTCCTCCCGCCCGTCTCTGAAATGTTAGTCTCCTCTACCAGTCTGCCCCTGGATCCTCCTCTTTGCTTCCTCCCTGGGAGAGATCTCAGCTCTTTGCTTCACCTTCCACCCATGGACAAGTCACCTGTGAGCTCAGGCCAGGCCCGCTCCTCACCTGAGCTCTAGACTTGTCAATCCAAGCATCGGGATCTCATCTCCATCAGCTCTCTCCCAAAGCACTTCTGATTCACCATGTACAGAACAACTGTGCAGTCTCCGAGGGTTCCCGTCTTCCCCCCCAGCCTCTACTTCTGGTCAGGACCAAGCTCTGGAGACCTCTGCCTCCTTGCCACATGCCCAGCCCGGTTTAGAACCTTGCTGTTTCACTCCTGGACTCAGACAGTAATTGCCTTGTTTGTTTCTCATGTACTCCCTACCATCCCAATTCACCATCCACTTAGCTGCCACAGGGATCTTTCTAAAGCATCTGTTCCCTCACTTCCTTGCTCAGCACCCTTCAATGGCTCTCCATTACCCACAAGATAGGAAGTCCTGGCTGGCCCCTCCAGCCTCATTCCACTTCTTTCCTGTGCTTTCCCTCCTCATCTACTGTGCCCCACCTCTACTGGACTGTCCATAATTCCTAGAAACATCCAGACTGTGGAGTTTGTCCTCTTTTTTTTTTTTTTTTTAAGAGAAGTTTTAGGTTCATAGCAAAATTGAGCAAATAGAAGGTTCTTATATACCCCCTACCCTCACACAGCTTCCCTCAACTATTGACTTCCTGCACCACAGTGGTACATGTTAAAATCAATGAACCTACACTGACATCACCACCCAAAGTCCATAGTCCACTTACATTAGGGTTCTCTCGGTGTTTTATATTTTGTGGGTTTGGACAAATGTGTACTGATATGTGGGCTTCCCTTGTAGCTCAGTCAGTAAAGAATCTGCCTGCAGTGCCGGAGACCTGGGTTTGATCCCTGGGTTGGGAAGATCCCCTGGAGAGGGGAATGGCAACCCACTCCAGTATCCTTGCCTGGAAAATCTCATGGACAGAGAAGCCTGATGGGCTGCAGTCCATGGGGTGGCAAAAGAGTCAGGCACGACTGAGCGACTAACACTAACTATACTGATATGTGTCCACTTCCCCAGTGGTGCTGGTGGTGAAGAACCCACCTGCCAATGCAGGAGACATAAGGGGTGCGAGATTGGTCCCTGGGCTAGGAAGATCCCCTGGAGGGGAGGGCATTGCAACTCGAGTATTCTTGCCTGGAAAATCCCACGGAGAGAGGAGCCTGGCTGGCTACGGCCCATCAGGGTCACAAAGAGTCAAAGAAGACTAAAGCGACTTAGCATGCACCCATACTGACACGTACGCACCACGATCGTGTCATATAGAACATGACGTCATACAGAATAGTTCCACTGCCCTAAAAATACTCTGTGCTCTGTCTGTTCAACCTTCCCCTCCCTGCTGATCTTTTTACTGTCGCCATAGTTCCGCCTTTTCCATAATGTCACATAGTTAACATCCATCATGCAATATGTAGCCTTTTCAGACTGGCTTCCTTCACTTAGAAATATGCATCTGAGTTTCCTCCATGTCTTTTCATAGCTTGACAGCTCAGTTCTTTTTAGCACCAAATGATCATTCCATTGTCTGGCTGTATCACAGCTTATCCATTCACCTACTTGGTTGCTTCCAAATATGGGCAGCAGTTATGAGCAAAGCTGCTATCAATATCTGTGCACAGCTTTTTGTGGAGACCTGTTTTCAACTCCTTTGGGTAAAAACGCAAAAAGCAGGGTTGCTGGCTCGTATGATAAGGGTAACATTTAGTTTTGTAAGAAACTGCCAGACTTTTACAAAGTGGCTGCACCATTTTGCATTTCCACTCGGAATAATTGAGAGTTCCTGTCTCTCTACATCCTTACCAGCGTTAGGTGTTGTCAGTGTTCTGGATTTGGGCCCTTCTCATAGCTGTGATATCTCACTGTTGTTTTGTTTTGTTTTGTTTTTTGGGGCTGTGCTGAGTGGCTTGTGGGATCTTATTTCCCCAACCGGGGGTTGAACCCGGGCAATGGCAGTGAAAATGCCGCATCCTAACCACTGAACCACCAGGGAATTCTCTCACCGTCCTTTTAAATTGCAATTCCCTACAACATACGATGTTGAGCCTCTTCACATGCCTACTTGCCATCTGTGTATCTTCATTGAGGTATCTGTTCAGGCCTTTGGCCCGTTTTGTAATCAGATAGTTCATTTTTTTTATTGTTGAGTTTTAAGACTTCATATATTTTGGATGACAGTCCTGGATGAAACATACATTTTATCAACATTTTCTCCAGGTCGGTGGCTTGCTTTCTCATTCTCTTGACATTATCTTTCACATGAGCGCAGAAATTCAGCATTTTAATAAAGTCCAGCCTATCAGTTGTTTCTTTCACAGATCATGCCTCTGGTGTTATATCCAGAAATTCACCTGCAAACCCAAGGTCACCTTAATTTTCACCTGTATCAACCTTCTAAGAGTTTTTTAGTTGTGTGTTTTACAGTTAGGTCCATGAACCATTTTGAGTTCATTTCCTATGAAGGGTGTTAGGTCTGGGTTTAGATTCCTTTTTGTTTTTTTTTGCATGTGGGTGTCCACTTGTTTGAGCACCATTTGTTGGAAACACTATCTTTGCTTCATTGTATTGCCTTTGCTCTTTTGTCCAAGGTCAATTTGCCATATTTATGTGGATCTATTTCTGGGCTCTATTCTGCTCTATTGGTCTTTGTTCTTTTGCCAATACCAAATTATTTTGATTACTGTAGACTTTGATAAGTGTTGAGGTCCAGTTGTGTCAGTTCTCTGACTTTGTTCTTCTCCAATATTGAGTTGGCTATTCTGGGTCCTTTGCCTTTCCATGTAAACCTTAGAATCTGTTTGTCGATATCCACAAAATAACTTGCTGGAATTTTGATTGAAACTGCATTGACTCTACAGATCAAGTTGCATCCAGGTTGTTTTTACTTCCAAGTTATCATTCTTATCCCATGATATTTTAAAACTTCATTATGTCCTTTTTGCTCAGTTTGAATTCCATTGTATTAGTGCACATTCCTTCAACATGACACATGTCTTTTAGGCTTTCCTACTAAATCAAGCTGATGAGCCTCTAGATACCATGTTGAAGATAGCTATTTCACCAATCTTAGTTTTTCACAATAATGACTTTATTATTTCTGTAAAAATGATTCATTTTCTTATAAAGTATTGAAGACAGTTTGAATGATGTTATGGAAACCTCCACCCAGACATAACTACTGACAGCATTCTAGGCATCTCGAGGGTTTCCTAGCTAGAAGGTTAGATAGAAATGCTTTTATTAAAATGGGCCCAGTCATACCAAAGAATAAAAATGCTACATCAATTTTATATGATTATGATAGAAGAAAAAGAAAGTTAAGTAGACATTTCTTCCCCCAACACAAAAATTCCTTAAAAACCTTTCTGAAGTTAAGATTATGAGAAACATTGAAAAAACTGGAACTGTTCTTAATAAAGTTTCATNGGTTGATGAAAAATTAATTGCAGTCTCAGACCATAAATTTTAAATCATTATAATTAGGCTCAAATATATCTTTATTAATCAGAATAGGAACCGTTATAATCAATACCTTTTTGCCAACAAGAAATGAGTTTATTTATTCCTGTAACAAAAATTCATGCTTCAGGATTCAATGAACTCTTGGAAAGCATTTTCTGTCTCCTGCTGCTTGTGGAAGCATTTTCCCTGCAAAAAGTTGTCCTCGAGATGCTTGAAGAAATGGTAGTTGGTTGGTTAGAGGTCAGGTCATTATAGTGGATGAGGCAAACCTTCCTAGCCCAATTTGTTCAACTTTTGAAGCGATGGTTGTGCGCTTAGGACTGGTTGTGCAGTCAGGACTATCATGGAGAAGAGTTGGGCCTCTTCTGTTGACTAGTGCCAGCTGCAGGCATTGCAGTTTTTGGTGCAGCTCATCGGTTTGCTGAGCATACTTCTCAGATGTAACGGTTTCGCTAGGATTCAGTAAGCTATAGTGGGTTAGACTGGCAGCAGACCACCAGTAACCATGACCTTTCTTTCGTGCAAGTTTGGCTTTGGAAAGTGTTTTAGAGCTTCTTCTTGGTCCAACCTCTTAGCTAACCAACCTCTTGCTGGTTGTCATATAAAATTCACTTTCCATTGCACGTCACAGTCCAATCGAGAAATGATGCATAGAATAAGAGAAGACAACACTTCAAAACAATGATGTTTTTTGTTTGCAGGCAGCTCATGAGGCACTCACATATCCAGCTTTCTCACCTTTCCAATTTGCTTCAAATGCTTAACAACCTAGAATGGTCCATGTTGAGTTCGTCCAACAACTTCTTATGTTGTAAGAGGATCAGCTACGTTGATCCTTTCAATTGTTCATTATCAACTTCTGATGGCCAGCCACTGCATTCCTCATCTTCAAGGGTCTTGTATCCTTTGCATAACTTCTTGAACCAACACTACAATGCACGTTCATTAGCAGTTCCTGGACAAAACATGTTGTTGTTGTGAGTTGTCTCTGCTGCTTTAGGAACCATTTTGAACTTGAATAAGAACATCATTTTGTATAACATCATTTCCTTTTTCTAAAATAAATATATAATGAGCAGCAAGTAATGTCATAAGCAAAAAAACACACACACACACAAAAAGTGTGCATCAAAATCATGTAAATAATTAAAGTGACTCATCCTAAATGATTAAAATGATAACATAGCCACATTTATTTAAGAATGTATTCCAGTATCCAATGGAAAATTTCAACGGTGCAAAACTGCAATTACATCTACACCAACCTAAATATTGTCATCCCATCTGTGCTTCTTGAATTCATGTTGTTAAATTTTTCTGTAGTTCAAAATGCTGTAGGAATTTATTTTTTCTGTTCCTTGGGTTACTTGTTTTTTCAGACATGGTTTTCATTGATCACAGGCATGTTTCTCTTTCATATATTTCCTCTGCTACTCTGTCGTTTCTTTTCAATGTCTCATGCTTAACATGGCAGCTCTGGCCAGATCTTTGTATCTGTATAATCTGGGTATGTTCTCAATTCTGACAGTGTCTGTACCCTGCACTAAGTCTGTACTAAGATTTTACAAATGCTAAGTTTTTACCATATTAATGATGTATTGACTTGTGCAACTCACTTAGTGCTTGCCATGGAAGCCCCGTCTTTGCTTTCTCATCTGAGGACCCTCCCCACCAGGTGGACAGCTGGGACTCTCTCACTCTTCCTCCCTTCCTGACCTCAAGCTGACTTTCTGTTTGTTCACTCTGTCCCAATCAGGAACTCATATTTTCTCAATTGCTTACCATATTCCATCTTCTCTTGTTTTTTAAAAAAAAAAAAATCCTCATTTCCATCCCCACCAAGTGAAAGTACTGAAGACTAAGTTAATGAAAACCTAGTAAATGTAAGAAAATACATTAAAAGTCAACTCAATAGGCCCTTCCTTTCCAACCACTCTGACACACACCCACACACTGGGCCTCCTCACCTCTCAGGGACCTCTCCATGAAGTGAAAGGCCTGGGGAGTCAGGAGCCAGAGGCCTTGGTAGGAATCCCACTTCTGACTTGTTAGGACAGTGACCTTGGAGAGTTCCACTGACCTCTCTGCTTTTGGCTTCCTTGTCCCTAAAGCAGTGCAGCTAGCCCTATCTTCAGAGCATCGCTATAAAGACACCTGAGACCAGGTGTGTGAAGGGCCCAGAGCAGGGACTCGGCATGTCCTCCGGTTTCCTCTCATGCTCAGCTGAGTCCTGTCTCACAATCAGCTTCTGCCCTTCACTGTGGACGGCCCTCCTCCAGCGTCAAGAGCCATTCTGGAAGTCACACGCAGAGCCGGACCAGACCCCACAGGTTCTCTAATCCCCTGTCCGCTTTTGTGAGGAAGTGAAGCCGAGGCCTGAAGTTGATGGCTGAGTCAGGAGTGGAAGCACCCACCCAGTGCTCCTGACCACCAGTCCTCTTAGGTTTATGGAAATACTGTCTGTCTGCTCCCTACCCTGCTCCACAGTCCTCCCCTTGGCTTCCCTTAGCCCAGTTCCATTCTGAACCCTCAGTAAAAATCACCAGAAGAGAGACTTCCCTGGTGGTCCAGTGGTTAAGAATCTCCCTTGCAGGGCCGAGCAGGGTACGCGGTTCCCCTGGTCAGGGAACCAAGATCCCACATGCTGTGGGGCTACTGAGCCTCCAGGGAGCCTGCCTGACGCAACCAAGATCCCACGCGCTGCAACTGAGACCCAACGCAGACAAATAGATGAAAATAAAAATATGTTTCCAAAAATCACCTAAAGATGTCCCCTCACAGCCTCCCACTAAGCTCTTCCCTCATCCTCTTTTGCTGACTCCCACATTTAACACTTTCTTTCACCTGCCCCATCTGGCCCGTGTTTGTGGGACAAAAAACAAAGCTCGTTCTTCTCAGCTGAACCCATTCCCACCCCCAACTCCCTCCGGAGGTTGGGCCCTTCAGTCTCCCTTCAGAGGCCCCGCGCTTCTCTTCTGCCCTCTGGTTCCCGAAGGCAGCTTATGTGGACAGAGCCAACCACGTTCTCCTTCCACCCACACAGATCCCTCCCTGGCTGAGGACGAAACTACACAGATGTCCTGCCAGCAGCATACTCAGGAGGCCTCAGAGAGAACTATCTTGGCCCCGAAGATACCTCTCGACTCTCAGGTTCCCCAACTCCTGCCCGAGCCCCAGTGCCTGGCAGATCTGTCCTCTGCCAACCTCCAGGCATGTCCAGTCCAGCTGCGCAGAGCACCGAGGGCTGGCTGAATGTGTCAGGTTTTTCCCCCAGATGTCCTCAGGGTTTCAGAAGAGAATATGGTCCCAGCCCCTCAAGGTTTAATACAATTTATGTTGTGGAGACACAGGAGCAAGTGTAAAGGGCACTTGAAGGACTAAATACTGGGAAGTAATATGTTCTCTGAGAATTAAACCGTATCAGTGCAAGATGAATCAGCAGATCTGCAGAGCCATATGAAAGAATCGTTCCCACATCTGACTGAAGTCAGAGTGGAGATATAATACAAAAACAGTAAAGACCGTGCCCAT